AGCAAGGAGGTAGGTGCCGTCCCGGGGCCGCCCCGGTGCCGCCACCTTTGCTCCCTGTGCGCGGCCCTGCGTGCGGTCAGGGCGCCTCTGGGCTGGGGGAAGCCGGGAGCTGTGTCTGGAGGTGCCATCCTCGTCTCTGAGGTGGTTTGTGCAGCCGCTTGCCCATGGGGGCCTCTCTAACACCGTGTTTCTGATTTATTTATTCACTTGTTCTTTTGCTCCTCCAGAAAGAGAAATCTAAATCGAGTAGCAGCACTGCCCGGGAGGCCAATGGCTTCCCGGCTGACACGTCTGCCAACTCCTCGCTGCTGCTGGAGTTCCAAGGTGAGTCTGGATGAGCCCTCCTTGCCCTTCTGGCTGTGGAAAGACACTCCAGTCTCAAAGGAGCCGGGATGGTACTGAATTTATGTATTACGTGCATTGGGAAAGCACTGTGTTTTTTAGTGTGGCTGTTGTTCATTTGTTGGACCATTTCACTCCATTTCTGGACTGCCCCCGACTGCATTGTAAGGAGTGAGCTGCGCATCTCCCATTGCCTGAATTACTGGGAATCCCAGCAAAAAACACTCCAGTCAGTCCCAGACAGGCCAGATTCTGTTGTGAAGCAGAGCAAAGTGCAGGGACTCACTGCTTGGACAGGGAGAGGGCAGACCCTGGGTCTGTGCCCACGCCACCCGCTCAGCCCGAGCGCAGTGGAGGAGGGACAAGGATTCTGCCGGTGTTTATGCAGGGAGAGGTTAACATTGCAGTCCTGCAGGTGGGCCCCGTGGGTCTGTTTTATCTGGAATAAATGCGCTGCAGGATTCCCTCTTCTTCTGAAGGCAGCTCTTGGCTGTTCTCCCTGCTCTGAGCAGCTGTGTCCCTGTGGAGAGTCCCATATGGGAAGTTGCTGCAGTTTCTTACAGAGTGTACGAAAGGCCCCTGCCCTGAGCGTCTCCTCCCGCCCGCGCTCTTCCATCGCCACGAGGCCCTGGCTCTCAGCGCCGCCCTCGGCTGCTGGTGCCCCTGGGTCAAGGTGCTCTCCTTCACTAGGTGCTGTTTCTGCAGATGAGAACAGTAACCAGAGCTCCTTGTCAGACGTCTACCAGCTCAAGGTGGACAGCAGCCCCAACTCCAGCCCCAGCCCCCAGCAGAGCGAGTCCATGAGCCCCGCGCACACGTCTGACTTCCGCACGGATGACTCGCAGCCGCCCACGCTGGGGCAGGAGGCTCTGGAAGGTGGGTCCTGCGGGGGCGGCTCTGCTGGAGGAGGCCGCTGTGGGCTGCCCAGAGGCCTCTTCTTGGCTTCCAGCATTTGCTCATCATGTAGCCGTGTGACACGGTGCTGCTGTCTCTGCTGTCACGTTAACCCTTCTGTTTTCTTCAGAGCCCTCCCTGCCTTCCTCGGAAGTGGCAGACGAGCCTCCCACTCTCACCAAGGAAGAGCCGGTGCCGCTCGAGACTCAGGTAAGGGAAGGAGGATCGAAACCTTGACTAGATGTGGATGGACCCAGCGTGGCCCTTTCAGTTTGGTTTCAGTGCAGGTGCTAGGGCACAAATTGTGTGAAGAAAAATGTGTAAACAGTAAAACAAGGATTACAGCCAACCAGGAGGGCTGAGCGACACTCTCGCTCCTGCTGCCCTGTGGCTCTTTCACATCCTGGCTCTCACTGCAGTTGCCACATAGATAAGAGCCCAGGTGTCCCCACAGAGCGCGACGCAGCCTTGTCTGGGCCCGGCCTCGCTGGCGGCCGCGGTGCCCTGGTGTCGCGGGCCGAGCTGCGGGCACAGGCCGTAACCGCTGCCCTCTGCCCGTTGCAGGTCGCTGAAGAGGAGGAGGACTCGGGCGCGCCGCCTCTGAAGAGATTTTGTGCCGATCAGAACTCTGTGTGCCACACGGCCTCGGAGAGCTAGCCGGCCCGGCCCGGGGACAGCGCCTTCGCCAGCCCCTCGCA